TATTTCTAGTAGCCTGTGTATTCCCTGCACCAAAGTTCTTAGGTTTGTCCCAATTCCCTCGTTGATGGCCCTAATAGTTTGGGGTTTTACTTCAAGGTCTGTGATTCACCTTGAGTTGGTTCTTGTGCATGTGAGGTAAGGATCTTGTTCCATTTTTCTGCATGTAGACATTCCTTTTTTCCAACACCACCTGTTGAAGAAGGTATCTGCTTCTCATTTGATGTTTTGGAGGCCTTTATTGAAGATCAGTTGTCTATATGCTGATGGTTTTATTTCTGGGTTTTCTGGGTTTTTTTCCATTGGTGTAAGTATCTGTCATTATACCAGTACCATGCTGTTTTGACCACTGTGGCTGTGTAGTATGTTTAAAGTAAGGTAAAGCAAGCCCTCCGACTTTATCTTTCTTCTTGAGGAGTTCTCTGCTAATTTTGGGCTTCTTCCCTCTCCATAAGAAGTTGATAATCAGTTTTTCCAATTCTTTGAAGAAGGTTGTTGGTATTTGTATCGGTGTAGTGTTAAACTTATGTAGTACCTGGGGTAAGATTGACATCTTTACTATATTGAGTCTTCCAATCCATGAGTATTTGATATTCTTCCATTTGTGGAAGTCACTTTTGGTTTCTTGTAATAGTGTTTTGAAATTTTCTTTGTACAAGTCTTGGGTTTTTTGGTTAAATATATTACTAGATAGATACTTCAATTTGTGCTTGTCTATTGTGAAGGGTACTACCGGTTTGATCACCTATTCTGTGATCTCCAGTGTATATAGCAATCCAATAAACTTGGTTGATCTTGTATCCCTGCCATTCTGCCATATTCCTCTTTCACTTCAAGTACTCCTCTTGTGGAGCTTCTGTGGTTTTCAATGTATAAAATCATATCATCTTCCAGTACAATGTTTAATAGAAGAGGGCACAAGGGGCATCCTTGTCTGGTCCCCTTTTTCAGTGGGAATGTTTTTATCTTATCTCCATTGACTACTTCATTGGCTTTTGGTTTTTCACATATGGATTGTATTGCATTAAGGATTTTCCTTCCAGTCCTGTTGTGAGTGTCTTAAGCAGGAATGGGTATTAGGTGTTGTCAGATGCTTTCTGTGCACCTATCGATATTATCATGTGTTTCTTATCCTTTTTCTTCTCAATGTGACGAATAATGTGGGTGGACTTTCAGATGTTGAACCATCCCTGCATCCCTGGAATGAATCCCACTTGATCATGATGAATTATTCGTTTTCTATGCTTTTGTATTCTATTGACTAATATTTTGTTAAGGATGTTTGCATTGGTGTTCATTAGAGATATCATTCTGTGGTTCTCAATTCTTGCGGGATCCTTGCCCACTTTAGGTATCATTTTAATACTAGTTTCATAGAGAGAATTCAGTTGTGTGGTATTGTTTTCTATGCTTTGGAAGAGTTTGTGTAGGATTGGTATCAGTTCTTCCCTGAATTCTTGGTAGAATTCTCCTGTGAAGCCTTCTGGCCTGGGGGATTTTTTGTTGTTGTTGATAATCTCTTGATAACCTTGTCTATTTCTTCTATTGCTATGGGTCTATTGAGGTTCTTGATGCCCATGTGGGATAGTCTAGGGAGGGATTGTTTTTTCAACTATTTATCCATTTGTTCCAAGTTGTTGAATTCATTGTAGTACAGGACTTCATAGTACTGGGTAATTAATTAGCCTTTTAATTTCAGTAGGGTCTGTTGTAATGTCCCCTGTTTCTTCCCTCATCCTGCCTATTGGTGTTTGTTCCTTCCTTACTTTGAATAGATTTGCCAACTGTCTATCAGTTGTGTTAATCCTTTCAAAGAACCAGCTTTTAGCTACATTGATATTTTTTTAAAATTATTTTCGTTTTTTTCCCTCTCATGGATCTCAGCCATGGTTTTTATTATTTCTTTTATTTTGCTATTAGTAGGATTATTCTGTTGACTCTGCTCTAATTGCTGGAGGCTTTGTAACAGAGTATCAATGATAAGTCTCATTTCCATTTTTCATGTGTGCTGTCCATTGACATTCAGCTATCAAACTTCCTCTGATAACTGCTTTTGCTGTGTCCTAAAGGTTTGGGTACATTGTATTCTTGTTCTCCTTGTATTCTGAAAACTTCCTAATTTCATCTCTGACCTGGGCCAGTACCCACTCATTTTGCAGTAGGAAGTTATTCATCCTCCAAGTATTAATCCTTGTTTTTTTAACCGTCCTTTTTAAAATTTCCAGCCTTATTGTGTAGTGATCTGAGAGGGAAGTTTGAGTGATCTCTATATGATCGAATTTACTTAGGCTTAACTTGTGCCCCAGCATGTGGTCTATCTTCGAGTATGTGCCATGTGCACTTGAAAAAAATGTGAATTTTGCATTTGGGTGAAGAGCTCTAAAACTGTCTATTAAGTCAGTTGTAGAGTTTAGTTTTGTAGTTTCCTTGTTAAGCTCTTTCCCTATGATCTATCTTTCTTGGAGAGCAATGTATTAAAGTCACCTAGCATGATTGTTGGGCCTGTGGTTTCTTTTTTCATCTTCTGGCACATTTAATTGATGAATTTTTCAGGTCTCTCATTGGGTGCGTATATATTATGCTCACTGGTTCATGGTTTACTGTTTCCTTGAGCATAATTTAGTGCCCCTCCTTATCTTGTTATGGCTCACACCTTGAGATCAGTTTTGTCAGAGTTTAGGATTGTAACCCCGGCTTTCTTTGAATTGCCGTTTGCTTGGTATATATTTTTCCAGCCTTTAATTCTCAGCCTATTTTTGTCTGTGAGCTTGAGATGTGTCTCTTGTAGGCAGTAGATTGATGGGTTATGTTTTCTAAGCCAGTTTCTGCTAGTCTCTGTCTTTTAATGTGTGAGTTTGGTCCATTGACATTCATAATTATTACATTCATCTGTGGACTCTGCGATGTCATCTGGTACCTTCTGTGTTGTGTGTGTGTGTGTGTGTGTGTGTGTTGTAGGGTAGTGTTCATTCTTGCCTTATTTTCACTGTTCAGCTATGTTATATTGGGCGCTCTTTTCGACGTGTTAACCTCTGGGTGGCGTTGCTCTAGGTGATGGTCTTCTGTTTGTGTTCAGTACATGTTGTTCTTCTGACCATAGTAGGTCAGTAAGAATTTTAGAGCTGGGTTTATTTAAATGTACTAACTGAGATTTTCCTTGTCTGGGAAAACCCATGCTTATCTTCATAGATAATTTGGCAGTGTAGAGGATTCCTGGCTTGGCATTATTCTCTTTCAACTCTCTGTAGATGTCACTCTACTCTGTTCTTCATGGTGTCTGCTGACAGGTCTGACCATATTCTTATCTGAATACCTTTATAGGTGACTGCCTTTTTTTTACCCTCGTGGCTCTTATGATTTTCTCCTTTACCTCAAAGTTAGATACCATATATACTTGAGTATAAGCTAACCCGGATATCAGCTGAGGCACCTAATTTTACCACAAAAACTACACTAAAAATGTGCCGAAAAACTCAGCTTGTACACGAGTCTATACAGTCATTGAACCATTATGTGCCTTGGTGACTTTTTCCTGGGATTCAGTGTAGCTGGTTGGACGTATTTTAACTTCAGTAAAAATTACTTTACCTTCTGGCTTCCCCAAATATCATTAATTTTATATTCAAAGTGCATGTGGTTTTATTTTTTATGTATGTGTAAGAAAGAAAAAATTAAAATAGATTGTATTATGATTATGTAATCATCCTTTACTGATAAATATAGGATTACTTCAGAGTTAATATCTAAAATATTGGTTCATCACAAAAGATTGATTGATCACAAAAGCTATAGATTAAGATAGAAACTTGAAGATAATAAGACATGGAAAATATGTGAATTATTATTATCATGTGAGAGAAAAAAAAGAATATTTGAATTGAAACAGTTCTTGGTACTTGTTATCCTAACAGAAAATATGGCAAGCTATTATACATATTACTGAAGACTGAGAAGATTTAACCCTTAAAACCAAAGAAAGCTACATTTCCAGATAGAAACTCATTGGACACTAAACCAAAACAGTAGAGTGAGTTACAAGTAATGCATAGGTGAGATGTATATCTTCATCAAGCCACTGTACAATACCGTCTATTTCTGTATCCTCAGATCTTTTTGAGACTGCTAGTGAAGCGAAGACAAACTAAACCTAAGTGAAAAGAATCATCTTTTTATTTCTTCTGCTCTGCACTTCTGGGTCCACTTTCGCCCAGGCCGCCTGCACTCATCTCTCTGAGCTTGACTTGAGTGTACCTGCAGCTTTCTTGGGCTTATTCCTTCGTCTTTTCTTTTACAATGGTCTACATTTGAAAACACATCAGATATAGCTTTAACAGGTACTTTCCTTTTCTTTATAAGTGATGCGCATGCCTCAAAAAAACATTGAGAGAAATACAAGTTAGTTGTCATCTACTGATTCTGACTCACGTGAGTCCGTGTTTTAGAGTAGAAATGCCCTCCATGAAATTTACGTGTGTGTGGCCTTTGGAACCAAATCGCCATACTTTTCTTCCAGGACATTTCTGAATGGGTATGAACCAACAACCTTTTGGTTAGTAGGCTAGCACTTAATCATTTGCACTATCCAGGAGTTCTGTTTCGGGTTTATTTCCATGTGATGATCAGGAATCCTGCTCATCTGCTCGTTGGTCCTCTGTTGCTTCATCTTCACATCCAATGTGTTAGACTAGCCATAAGTGATCTCAACTATCTTTGCAAGTTTTTTTTTTTTTTGCTCCAGTGCTTTTCCTGAATTATACTACTCTTCCTTGGTCTTGATGCCCAAGGTAGATGGTGTCCTGGTTGGAGCCCCAGCTCTTATAAGGGTTTCCTAATGGGTACTGAAGGTCAGTTTTGAGCCTGCCCCACTTAGTGTAGGGCTTCTAAAGGGCTTATTATATAAGACAAATGAGTGACCTCAGTTTAAAAGCATACCTATAAGGTAAGGTGTCTTTTCCCCTTCTTTTCACATGTGAGCTTCTTACTTACCAAAGCTTATTTTTCAGGGTAAATTCCAGCCCCTAGATCAAGTCGTGGTGGATGATATATTTCCAAATTGCATCTTGTTGCTGAAACTTCCTGAACTTGAGAGGTTACTTCACCATGTGACAGAGGAAAAAGGTACAGTATGTGGGCCTTTGAGAATTTCTTGAAAGGTTGGCAGTATGCTTATATCTCAAAATATAACTAATTAAAACTCACAGCTATTGTGTCAATTCTGACTCATAGCAATTCTTTAAAGATTTGGTAGAACTGGTATAAAAACCTGTGGGTTTTTATAATTGCAACTCTTTACAGGAGTAGAAAGCCTTCTCTTTCTTCTAAGGAACAGCTGGTGGTTTTGAACTGTTGACCCTGTGGTTAGCAACCCAGTAGCCACTGTGCCACTAGCGTTCCTTTTAGCTACTTAAAGTGCCCCTGAATTTAATATTTACTCTTTATTGGCCATAGGGGAAGCTTCTTCAGGAGATTTGCTTCCATGTATCAAGACTATTCCTCTATTCCTTTAGATTTTCAGCCTTAATATAACCTCCTAAAATCTGGTGGCCCAGGCATACAGGGCCAGGCATTACAAGGCATAGATTTTAGTTTCAGTTCTTTACAGAAGTCACAAACTGCTTTACGCTTCATAGTTCTCATTTGTAAAATCACACGAGGTCTACCTTTATTGGTTCAAGAAGCATTTGTTCAAACTCTTTACTGTCAAGTCGATTCCAACACATAGTCACACTTTTGGACATGACGAAATGTCCCTGTGGGTTTTTGGACACCCAGGACTAGAAATCCTCCTCTATCTCCTACAGAGCAGCTGGTGAATTCAACTGCCGATCTTATTGTTAGCAGCCCAAAGCATAACCTACTACGCCACCAGGGCTCCCTCCTTACATATTTGTTGAGAACCTATTAAGATGCATCTGTTTATTACTAATGCTACGGATTTTAGTACTAAGGCTATGGAGATATATATGAACAAAGGATTGTCCTTTCTTTCAAATTACTTCAAATCTCTGGTGAACTGGACCCACACTCAAGCTGTGACAGCACAGTGTGATGGAGGTGAACCTGGCTTCTCTAGGGAGACATTAGACATTTATCACTAAAGTAGAAAAGTGGCTCCATGTGACATGTGGGTAAAATCATACTTCCTTTTTATTAAGATAAAAATATAAACATCATCAAGTTCAATACATTTTTATAACTGGTGAAACTAGCTATTTATTCTACTGCTAAAGAAATTAGGGTCCTGAGAATTTAACCATATCAATGTTAGTCTGTTTTATATAATTAGCTGAAGAAAAATCGGTGTCCCTTAAATAATTTTTAAAGTTAGGGAACAAAAATTCAGATGTAGTCAAATTATGGTTAAACAGTAGATGCCTCGTGATTTCTCATAGAGACTTCCACAAAATTGCCCTTGATTGATGAGAGGAATGAGCTTTGTCTTGGTGGAGAACTTTCTGAAGAAGCTTTCCCTGGGGTTTTCGTGCTAAACTTTTTTTATATGTCACAGAATTATCCAAGTCATTCTCACATTTACTTTCCCTCCTTTTATAACCATTCAGAACAGTGTTTAGGTCTGAGGGGTGAAGAATCTGGAGGGTTTGTAAGGTGGTGACTCTTCTTTTTAATATATACTTTTCCCTTTTGTTTGTGGAATATAATACATACAAAATAAAAACATATCCTGTGTAGTTACATAGTCTATCTCATCAAATCAGTGACAGTATCCCATTAAAATCTCCATATACCTCATGTGGCTTCTTTTTCTTTTTTTCCTCTTTTCCTACTTTCCCTCATTGCCTTCTTGTCTCTCCCCTCTCCCCTCTGCCTCCCACTCCCATCCTGGCTTTGTCGTAGTCTTTAAAATCTTAGCCCTTGATGTGGAGACCATTTTTGTTTTTCTTTTTTCCTTTATAAAAATGATGTTGTGAAATTTTTATGTTAATGAGATTGGATAACTTTGCTGATCATAATGCCCTCTGATTTTGTCCATGTCATGATATGTTTCAGACTCATCATTGTTTTTAAGGACACATAATATTCCATTGTGCAAATGTACTAGAGTTTGTTGATCCGTTCTTCTACAGACAAGGTTTTTGATTGTTTCTATCCTATTGCTATTGTAGAAATTGCTGCAGTAAATGTGGTGTACATATGTCTGATCATGTTTTGTTCTTTATTTTTTTAGAGTATATCCCAAGTAGACTTCAGGATTATTTAAGGAAGCGCCATACTATGTTCCATAGTGGTTGTACAATTCTGTAGTCTCACCAACAGTGTATGAGTATTCCAACCTCTCGACATCCTATCATACATTTATTATTGTATGTTTTAAAAAAAATTTTGCTCAGCGTGTCAGTGTGAGGTGATATCTTCTTGCTTTAATTTGTGTTTCTCTTTATGGCTGATGAGCAGGAACATTTCTTCATATGACTGTTGGCTGCCTAGGTGCCATCGTTAGTTAATTGTTTATTCATGTCTTGTGCCTATATTTTTATTGGGGTTTTGTACTTTTCTTTTTAAAGTGTTGTAATTTTCTATCAATTTTTGAAAGTAGTCCTTTATTTGATATATCATTGCCAAATATTTTTTCCCCAAATCTTCTGGGTTCTCTTTTGTTGAAGTATTCTGATAAAATATAAATGTTATATTTTTAGAAGGCCTCAGTCCTATATTTTATCTTCTGTTTTGTGGGTGTTTTTCTTTCTGGTTGGTACTGTATTTATGCCTTAAGTTTAGGGTCATTAAATTTGTCCATTTTTCCACTGATGGTCCTTATGGTACTAGGGCGTATATCTGGGTCTTTAATCCATCTTGATTTCATTTGTGTACATAGTATGAGGTATAGGTCTTGTTTTATTCTTTTATAGGTGGAAATTCTGTTGCCAGGACCATTTACTGAAAAGGCTGCCTCTTCCCCACTGAAAGTTTTTTAGTCCTTTATCGAAAATTAGGAATCTCTAAGTACTTGGTTGTATTTCTGGGTTCTCAATTCTAATCCATTGATCTATATGTCTACATTGTATCATACTAAGCCATTTTGATTGCCATCGCTATACAGTGGGTTTTGAAATCTGGACGTGAAAGGCCTCCTACTTCGTTTTTTGTAAGTTTTTTGTTTACCCTGGGTTTCTTTCCTTTCTATGTAAAGTTGGTGATTAGTGTTTTCTATTTCTTTGAAGAATTGTGCTGGGCTTTGTATCAGAATTGCATCGAATTTATAAAGTGCTTTTGGTATTATTGACATTTTCACTGTATTGTCTTCTAATCCAGGAGTACAGATCATTTTTCCATTTTTCTGAGTCTCTTAGTTTCTTGTAGTGTTTTATTCTTGTTCTTTGTATAAGTCTTCAATTTCTCTGGTAAGATTTATTCTTAGATAGCTTATCTTTTGGGTAGTTATTATAAATTATATTGTTCTTTTAATTTCCTTTTCAGTGACATTTTCTTTAATATACAGGAATTCAACTGATTTCTATATACTAATCTTATAGGCTTCTATGTTGCCAAATTTTTTATTTTGAATCTGGGAGGTTTACCATATATAGAATTATGCTGTGAGGGACAGGATTCTCGAAAGTTTGCTGACCCATGGCCTAACCTGTGATCTATTCTAGAGTATGTTTCATGTACACAGGGGGAAAAAGTATGTGTGTGTGTGTGTGTGTGTGTGTATACATACATATGTATAGTCCTTTAGATGAGTGAAGTGTTTTGTATATGTCTAAGGATGGAGATGATTTTGCTGCTCAGTTATTCTTCTGTATCTTTGTCAGTTTTCTTTCTAGTTGATTGATCTTTGCTTGAAAGTGATGTGGTAAAGTCTTCTAGTATTATTATATTATGGTCTACTTGTCTCTATTTCTATTATAATTCAATTAGTATATTTTGAAGTTCTTTAATTGAGTGCATAGATATTATAGTTGCTTGTTCAACTAAAGCTTTCATGATTATATAATGGCCTTTGGCTCTGTTTTACTTTTATTTGGATATTTATTTTGTCAGGAATTAATATTACTATTCCTGTTTTCTCTTTGACTGTCATTAGCTTGATATGTTTTTTCCATTCTTTTGTTTTTTAGTCTACATTTGTCTTGAGAGGTTTGTCTTCAAGATCATTGATTTTTGATTCGATTGCTTCAAATTTTTCTGTTTTTTTTTTTCCTCCAGAGGGATATCTAGTTCTAACATCTTAGTATTTGCTTTTAAAATTTCTATTTGGAGTTCTTCAATTACTTCTAATTTTTCATTTATTTTGTCAGATTGGTCATGTAATGCTTTTCTGAATTCCACTATTTCTTTCTCTCTTATTTGTACTTATATAAACATTTTCCTCCGTTTGCTAAAACAGTTGAAGATCAGTGTTCTTAACTCTCTCATGGTTTAAAACTTTCTCTTTCTCCAAGACCTCCTCTAGGTTCACATCTGTAAGTATTGATGTCAGATGAACTGTTTTCTCTTGTTTGGGGTATGTGCTGAGATTGACTGCTGCTTCTGAGACACGGTGTTGTTGTTATATCTGTCTCTGGTCACAAAGCAATCCTCACACACTTATTGTAGATCTTGGAGAACCAAGGGTAGCCAAGCAGTCCAGTAGTAGTCCATCCCTAACAGAAGCCAAAGGAAGGAAGTAATTAACTATTGCCCCTGTGGAAATCCTGGTTTAAAGGCTGACTCCCAAGTCCCCAGAGAGTGCTAGGCAATGATCAACACAACCAACACCAAGGGGGGAAAAGAGAATGTCTAAAACCCTTGAGGATGCATGTCTGAGCTGCACACACTGACTCTGAATTTCAGATCAGGGCCCAGATTATGTTTGCATGAGTGTTGGTGATACTACTTTGAATCCTGGGTCTGGAGAGATGCTCAAACTCACCTGTGCTGATTTCCCCCCTGATAACAGGGCCACCTAATTCTGCACACCCTCAGAGCTGGCTCACCACATTGATGCCCTGGCACAGCCTAGCCTAAGAGTTCCAGCCGATCTACATCTAACCTATACAGAGGGTATGCAGGGATTGGGTTGAGGCCCATTCAGCCCCAGGGATGGGAGCCCATGAACTTCACTGTTTGAGTTCGGACTCAGCACACACACACACACCATCAGGGGAGAAAGTTTA